CTCTTGAAAGTAATATAATATCACATGTAAATTATATCTCAATAAAAAGAACCCTAAATCATAAAAGATAAGAATGGGAATTAAAACTGAAACTAAATATAAGTAAATAAACCTACTGGCATAAGTAAGAAAACAATAATGCAAGTAAATCAATAAAGTGTTTGAAATATACACTTACTCCTGCACAAAACAGTGGAGGGGTAAAGTGTAAACAAATCACAAATCTTGTTTAGTAAGCTTATTTTTCTAGTGTTTTCTCTAGTGCTCTGCATTCTGAAATAATTTAAGAAACACTAAAATATAGATCAAATGATTAAATATATTGATGTTGTGTAGATTGATTCACACTTCAGAAGGCAGGACATACACAAGCGAAATAGAGAAAGGAAAGAACAGGTCTTGAAGGGATAGATTGGAATTGAATATTTCTGTGAGAAATAATGATTTATAAATATTTCTATGAATATGCATATTCATGTATATGTTCACATGTATATGTACGTAAGCATAGGTGAGTATGGCTATGCCTATATATAATATATGTACATGTATGTTGATATGCATATGTGTTTACACTGAAGCATTTTTAATAGCCAAATTCCCATGTGTGATCTTTTAGGCCCAACCTTAGACAATTGCAAAGGCCTTATCTGGCAGTTGTCATGGGGGGAATCTTCAGGTTCCACGCTAGACTTGATTCACAGCCAGTGAAGTGTAGACATTGGCAGTGGTTGCAGTCAAAGACTAAGGCCCATAAAACTGGAAATATCTGCATTACTAATCCATGTGCCTCAATTTGGAGGCATTTTTATGCATGGAGGATTCAGCTAAGATACTGTACTGTTCATATGCTTCTACATAGTTTGGTTTTTCATTATCATTTCATTGTAGACATTTTTATTAGTTTTGATAGCTTTCACTTCTTTTATTCCTTGCCCTCCCACCACTAACTCACTTCAGCCTCCAAGTCTATACAATAGGAAGAGCCTTTTGTTTGAAACTTCTTTGGTTGTAAGATGATCTTCTCACAACCTACCCCTACCAGCACTGATATTCTGACTCTCCAATGCTGTTCTATGGAGGAAAACGGAAAGCTGATGTAACTGGAAACTTTTCTTGTTTAGACTCTTTCTAATAAATTACAGTAACAGAATAAATGCTTAATTTCACTTTCAATTTGGCTTGCTATCTTAACTAACCAACTTAAAAACAGGTAGCTCTCTCCTTACAAATTAGTGCAGCCAGCAATGTGGTCAATTAAGCACAATTCCCTTCTAGAAGGAACATTAGTGAATCCTCAGGGCTCCATAAAGTGATACTATTGGGTCATGTGCAAGAGTCAGAGGGTCCCATAGGGCACATGACAGTTCAGGTCAGGGTGTCTCAGGATGTGCTAGTGGACTCTGGAGCATGCTTTAAGAGAGTGCTATTTTATTATTTACTTTTAATTTCTGAGAGGGAACAATGGTTCTTCTATTTATTTCATTTTTTTTTTTTTTGGCTAAGATACTCAGTGGGTAGGTAGAATTAAACATCCAATAGAGGAATTTTGATAAAGCAGGAGAAGCAAGACCTTAGCTATTACTTATAGTTTTACCAGCTATGGAACCAAAAATTGAAGACCCTGCATGCTGGTTGTACCCAATGACTATTATTAGTTCTACTGTAGTGTAGTGGGAACTGATGGGCAGTTTATGATGCAGAGATTTACTGAGATTCATGCTTTAACAAAAGAATTTAGAGTCCTGAGAACCACTTTGTCTGGTGACCTGAAGAAACTTAAGACTTGGATAAGTCATCTTCATGTATAAGAAGTAATATTTTTAAAGAAGTAATCATGTGGTACTCATTTTTCTCTGACTTATTTTGCTTAGCAAAATGGCAAGATTTCATTCTTTTTGATGGTTGAGTAATATTCCATTGTATGTGTGTATATACATATATATAGATATACATATATATGTATATATATGTGTGTATAAATTTGTGTATGTGTGTGTACACACACACACACACACACACACACACACACCATCTTCTTTGCCCATTCATTAGTCTATGGACATTTGAGCTCTTTCTATAGTTTGGCTATTGTTGATAATACTGCTACAATCATCGGGGTGCATGTGCCCCTTTGAATATATTTTTGTATCCTTTGGGTAATACTTAGTAGTGCAATTGCTGGGTTATAGGGTAGTTTTATTTTTAACTTTTTGAGAAATTTCCATATTATTTTCCAGGTTGTCTACACCTGTTTGCATTCATATGTGGAATTTAAGAAAGAAAACAGATGAACATATGGGACTGGAAAAAAAGAGAAAGGGAAGCAAACCATAAGAGACTCTTAACTATAGAGAGCAAAATGAGGGTCGTAGAGGGAGGTGGGTGGAGGATGGGCTAAATGGGTGATGGGTATTAAGGAGAGCACTTGTTATGATGAGCACTGGATGTTATTGTAAGTGATGAATCACTAAATTCTACTCCTGAAACCAATATTACACTATATATTAACTAACTAGAATTTAAATAAAATTTTGAAAAAAAATAAAGTAGTCAAGTAATATTGTTGGTTTCCTAATACAAAAAAACCCTTTCTCAGAGAGTTTTGACAATGGATACATTGCACAAGGAGATGGAAGAAAGGGGTATGAAAAAAACACAGACGTTCAAGACTCTCTCCTTCCTCAGCTGGGTACTGTTTTGGATTTGACAGATGACTCATTCTTGCCCTTGTAAAACATGTTTTAACTATAACTGAAGAGGCTGTAGTGATTTCATGAACCGCCCATTGTACTTAGGATATAGAATAAAAGTATGAGGATAGTAGATGATATTACTTTTTACCAGACTCAAAATTCTGGGTTCATTTGTGCTGCTATTGCTGGACATTAAGCTCAGTTAAACAAAGTTTCAAGGTCAGGGCAATTAGTCTATGATATTATCTGGATCTTAACTGGAAAATTTCTGGACAATAGTGGATACTGCCAAGACAGCAATGATTGACCATAAGAGAGAGTGATATAAAAATGGTAATCTAGTAAACACTCCTGGACCATCGAGGCAAAGGTTTTAAAGAGATCAAAGAGTGTGTTTATCCAAAAACAGGCTTAGACTCAATAAGTAGACTAAGGGGCTCTTTTCCTAGAACATTATGGCCAGGTAGTGGGATAAGTGGCTCAACAGACCCACTACTTATGGTAATGGATCCTTTGATTAATACAGGTGCTATGCTGCTGTTTTTCCCGGTGATCCTTGCCAAGAATCAGAGTGCTCCACCAACTATTACCAAGACATTATGGCTTTCAAAAATAAGTAAGACAATGGGTTTTTCCAGGCCTCATGTACCCACAGTGGGGGAGGCAGGGAGGGAATGTGAAGACTTCTGCTCTCATCATAGTTCAGTGGAGATGTGCAGGAAACTTTCATTTCTGGGCCTTTGAGATACTGGTGCATAGAAAACAATGATCTCCACAACGTTTGACACCAAGATGAGGTGGAAACCAATAATGTTCATTGGCTTGGGGTCCAAAGCCACCACTAATGGGAAACTTACTCAAAATTCCACGATGATGTGTCCACTCAGGCCACCTCAAAACTCTACCCCCACTACTAAATGTATTGTCAGTATAGAAGTATTATCTACATGAATGTCTACTTGATTTCACCCTAACCCTTGGTAGAAATTGCCACTTTAGCAAGACAGGTGGAAGACTGTGAAACTACCCAACTATTAGCATCTAGTACCTTGTTTCTCAAAAACATCCACCAGGGGAAACAAAATAAATAACTGCCCTTATTGATGAGCTTAATGAAGCAAAAATTCTTCCTGTGACTGCTTATCCATTAAATAACTCAATATACCTTAGGTATATGTCCTTGTGTGCATAGAGACTCCAGTGATTATTCATAGCTTGGTGATGTAGTACTGAGGCACTAGTTGCATCCAATATTATGACTGTCATGGAAGTTAATATCCATAGTGAAGGAATTTGGTATTCTGTAATAGAAAGTACAGATACCCTATCCAGAAACTTTGTACACATAGATGATCAAGATAAATTTGTCATATGTGGCTTGGATTGCAACCCACCACTAATATTCTTTCACAAGGCTCCATAAATCCTCCAACTATCTGTGTCAATAAACAGTTATGACCTAGAAATGTTCTAAACTCAGAGAGACCACTAGGCTTCCATTCTATTAATACATCCAAGTGGACCCAGACAAGGGCACAACTTAACAAGGACCAGACATCCTATAGACCTACATGTGGCAACATAGCTGGACCATTAAAACAAACAAGGCACAGTTACCAAGTACCTAATAGAAATTCCTGGGCATAATCTGTAAGCAGCACAATGTCTCAACCCAGAGAACAAGACTACCAATCTTTGGCCCATTCTGCTTCAACGAATGAAAATGAGGCATAACTACTGGCAGAAATATTTGGCTACTTGCACTCTCATATTCTCCATGTGGGGGTTTTGATGACATTCATCTATTAGGTTACCTCAAAGGTCCCTCCTTTTAGTGGGGCCACAGCCAAGAGAATGTATTTGAAGCCTTCCAACAGGACTCATAGGGTGCCTTTCCTCTAGGCTCCTCTGATCATTTGCTATGTGACTCACAGTTCTCAGTAACATCTCTGTTTACCAATTAGAGTTGTGGTAAAAGGCCTCTACCACAGGTCAGAAACATCTACCACATCCTGCTGAAAGGCTTGCATCTTTGCAAGAAAATTACTGGCCCATAATTGGCCTTGGTGTCTGAGTGTAGAACTTGTGATTGTGAAATAATATTACAACCAGAAATACCAATGAAAGTTATGAAAAATTTGACTTTTGTTCTCTAATTATCTTAGGGTATTTACAATTAAGGTCAAAGGAACTACAAATGTCCCATAAAATATGATCTCAAACATATACTCATGAACCAAAGGGAAAAAAATATTCTACTGAATTTAATTAAAATAATTTAAAGTTATCTTTAATTGTACTTACTAATGTTTCTTTCCCCTTTGGATGTTCTCTGTTTCTTTACTTGCATTTGTGTTTTTGATATTGAATCTTGGTTTTCATCAAGCACAAGATTTCCATCTGGTACCTCAAACTGAGCTACATAAAGAGACACATTTAGTTGAATAAATATAGAAACAGATCTGTTGTGAAACCCCTAACTTTCAAGTTTATAACAAGTATAAAGCAGAATTTATCCTCATTTCTATAAAGTTATAAATAAATTGCCATAATGTCAGATCTGACATGAAAATAGGAGAATTTTAATATATATGTATTAAAACTATCTCATAACTTCATTAATAATCCTTGGCATCAAATGTACTTTATGTTAATCTCTGTTAGGCATTTTGTGCTTAAGTTAAAATTTAATCATAGGACAAGACATCAGCAAGATGGAGGACTAGTAAGGTCCAGGCCTTCATTCCCCCCCAAAAACACTGAGTGAGCAACAGTGTACAAACCAAAACACCTTTTAGAGAACTATAAAAACCAGTTTGAAGCTGCTTTGCCCAAGTGAATTACTTACCAAGAAAAACTACACCAAAAAGAATAACGAGGATTATGGCATTTTGCCCACTTTAGATGGACCCTTTCCCTGGTGCGGCATGCCACAATCACAGGGAAGCCTCCCAATTTCCAGCTTCTCTCTTGGGATGAAAAGAAAAAGGTGGAACTTGTACCTAACTTTGTGGAAAATCTGGGAGCACCTGAGTTACTGGTTTCTATCTTGCCTGACTTGAAACACTGATGGAAACAGCTGCATAGATAAATACCAGGTTGGAAGCTGCTGAAAACAAAGGTGAGTACCATGGCACATTAGAGGTATAGGATGTATGTAATTCTGCACATGACAGAGGAGCAAGAGATTACAGGAAGAAAAATACTACAGGAACCAAAACCAAAAACTCCTGAGAAGAAATAGGGGAGACCCTCTTAGGGAAATTATGAGAGTTAAAAGCAGCCATGAATAAAAGAGCATACACGAGCCCAGAGAATACACATTCTCCAGAAAAGGTTTGAGAAGTCTCAGAACCTCTCTGCAAGGCTGATTTGTCAAAGTATTTCCCTGCATGAAGCCAGTTTGTAAATACTGAGAGAGATGCTGTGCTTTCAAAATCATAAATCTCAACAAAAAATGACAAGACATACCACAACAAACAAACAACAACAAAAACATGCCTTAATGAAATAAGGAATATGATGCCTGAATAAAATTTAAATTGCAGCATTATCAACAACAGCCAAATTACAGAAAGAGCCCAAATGTCCATTGACTGATGAATGGATAAAGATTATGTGGTATGTGTATATATAATATTCAGTCATATATATATATATATATACATATATATATTATATATAACATATATATGGAATACACATGTATTATAATGGAATAATAATGGAATATATATGCATATATATAATGCATATATGCATATATATGCATATATATAATGGAATATTACTCAACCATAAAAAAGAATGAAATCTTGCCATTTCAATGACATGGATGGAGGCTAGAGAATATTATGCTAAATGAAATAAGTCAGTCAAAGAAAGACAAATACCATATGATTTCAGTCATATGTAAAATTTAAGAAACACAAAAAATACACATAGGGAATAAAAGAGAGGAAAATCAAGAAACAGAGTCTTAACCATAGAGAACAAACCAGAGGGTTACCAGAGGGGAAGTGAGTAGGGGGAAGATGTATTAAATAGATGATGGGGATTAAGAAGTATATTTGTTGTGATGAGCACCAGGTGTTGTATGTAAATGTTGGATCACTAAATTCTACACATAAAACTAATATTACATTTAATGTTAACTAACTGGAATTTAAACAAAAACTTGGAAAAAATATCAACAAAGCTATAGAAACTGTTTTTAAAAATTCTGGAGCTGAGAAATACAATAACTGAATTGAAAAATTCACTAAAGGTGTTCAATAACAAATTTTCTCAGGAAGAAAAAGAATAGAAACCTGGAAGACAAGTCACTTGAAATTTCTGGAGTAAGGAGAAAAAAAAGGTGAAGAAACCATAGAGGATTTACCAGACACTATCAAGTTGACCAAGATACACAATATAGAAATCCCAGAGTGGAAGAGAGGGAATAAGGAGCAGAGACTTTATTTGAAGAAATAATGACCAAAAAAATCCCAAATTTGAGAAAAGAAATGGATGTACAAATTCAACCAGCTGAATGAACTCTAACTAGGAAACACCCAAAAGACCAACACTGAAACACATTACAAACTGTTAAAAGACAAACACATGAAAAGATGCTCAACGTCATGCATCATCAGGGAAATACAAATCAAAACCACACTCAGATACCACCTCACGCCAGTCAGAATGACTAAAATGAACAAATCAGGAGACTATAGATGCTGGAGAGGATATGGAGAAATGGGAACCATCTTGCACTGTTGGTGGGAATGCAAACTGGTGCAGCCACTCTGGAAAACAGTGTGGAGGTTCCTCAAAAAATTAAAAATAGATCTACCCTATGACCCAGCAATAGCACTGCTAGGAATTTACCCAAGGGATGCAGGAGTGCTGATGCATAGGGGCACTTGTACCCCAATGTTTATAGCAGCACTGTCAACAATGGCCAAATTATGGAAAGAGCCTAAATGTCCATCAACTGATGAATGGATAAAGAAATTGTGGTTTATATACACAATGGAATACTACATGGCAATGAGAAAGAATGAAATATTTAGCAACGTGGATGGAACTGGAGAGTGTTATGCTAAGTGAAATAGGTCATACAGAGAAAGACAGATACCATATGTTTTCACTCTTATGTGGATCCTGAGAAACTTAACAGAATACCATGGGGGAGGGAAAGGAAAAAAAAGTTAGAGAAGGAGGGAGCCAAAACATAAGAGACTCTTAAAAACTGAGAACAAACTGAACGTTGATGGGGGATGGGGGATGGGTACTGAGGAGGGCACCTGTTGGGATGAGCACTGGGTGTTGCATGGAAACAAATTTGACATAAATTTCATATTAAAAAAAAGACAAACACCAAGAGAGAATCTTAAAAGCAGCCAAAGAAAAACAATTTGCTACATACAAGGAAGCCTCTATAACTTTACACCAGTAGATTTCTCAGCAAGAACCTTGTAGGCCAGAAGACATTGGGATAACATATTAAAAGTGCCAAAAGAAAATACTGTCAACCAAGCATACTATGTTTGGCAAAACTGTTCTTCAAAAATGAAGGGAAAATTAAGACTTACCCAGATAGCGAAAGCTGAGGAAGTTCCTAGCGCTAGACCTACCCAAACAGAAATGCTAAAGGGAAGTATTTCAAGTTGAAATGAGAGGACATTAAATGGCACCACAAAGGTATATAATAATATATTTTTGTGTTTAAGGTAAATGTATGGACAAATGAAGACACCTATGTTATTTAAATTTTGATGCATAACTTAACTTTTAATTCTTATATAGAATTTAGAGAAAAGCATAAAAATAACTATAAGTCTATGCTAATGGGCACACAATATTTAAAGATGTAATTTGTGGGGCGCCTGGGTGGCGCAGTCGGTTAAGCGTCCGACTTCAGCCAGGTCACAATCTCGCAGTCCGTGAGTTCGAGCCCCGCGTCGGGCTCTGGGCTGATGGCTCAGAGCCTGGAGCCTGTTTCCGATTCTGTGTCTCCCTCTCTCTCTGCCCCTCCCCCATTCATGCTCTGTCTCTCTCTGTCCCAAAAATAAATAAACGTTGAAAAAAAAATTAAAAAAAAAAGATGTAATTTGTGATATCAATAAATAAAGTCAGGGGAGGAACATTAAAGGAGAACAGTTGTATGACTGAAGTATGTATGTGATTAAAATAAATTGTTTTAACTTTATGACGTTCAATGTAATCCATGGTAACCACAAATAAAACATTTATAGAATATACATGTTATATAATGAATGTTCATATCCTCCCAAACTCAGTGTTGAAGCCCTAACCCCAATGTGATGCTTTGGAGATAGGGCTTAGGAAAGTAATTAAGGTTAGTGATAAGTCAAAGGTAAAGTCTTCATCTAACAGCATTAACATCTTAATAAGAAAAGACACCAGAGAGTGTGCACATATGCATGCTTGTGCCCTCTCACTCTTTCCATGTGTGCACAAAGAAAAGATTATATGAGTACACAGAAAATGGTGGACACTCCTGAGCCAAGAGAAGAGGTGAATAAAATCTATCTTACCAGCACCTTGATCTTGGACTTCCTCCTCCAGAACAGTAAGAAATAAGTCACTTTTTTAAGTGGCCCTGTCTATGGTATTTAGTTATGGCAGCCTGAACAGACTCATACAGTACACAAAAGGAAATTAGAAAGAAAGCAAAGCCTGTCATTACAAAAAAAAAAAAAAAATTAATCAGATACAAAGGAAGACAGTAAGATAGGAAAAGAGAAGCAAAAATATGCATGATACAGAAAACAGTTAACAAAATGGCAATAGTGTCTTTCCCTATCCAATTGTATACCATCTAACTGAATAGCCTAAAATAAATGAATTTTTAGAAAAACACAACCTACCAAAGTAAATGGGTTAAACTTCCAAATCAAAAGATACAGAGTAGATGAATGTATAAAAACAAACTAAAACAAACCAAGACTCACATATATGGTGTCCATAAGAGGCTGTAGATCTAAGAGTGAAAGTGAAAGGATGGAAACAGATATTCCATGTAAATGGTAACCAAAAGAGAGCAGAGGTGGCTATACTATTAACAGGCAAATGAGACTTTTAGTCAAAAACTATTACAAAAGAGAGGTGCCTGGGTGGCTCAGTCGGTTGGGCATCCAGGATCAGGATCAGGTCATGATCTCACAGTTCATGGGTTCAAGCCCTGCGTCGGGCTCTGTGCTAACAACTCAGAGCCTGGAGCCTGCTTCAGAGTCTGTGTCTCCTTCTCTCTCTGCCCCTCTGCCACTCATTCTCTGTCTGTCTTTCTCTCTCTCTCTCTCTCAAAAATAAACATTAAAAAAAACTATTACAAAAGACAAATTAAGACATCTGATAATAAAAAGTTAATTCTTCAAGAATAATAATAATAAATATCTATGCACAATACATGA